GTAGCTAGTGAAAAGGTAAGAAAGGATCTCTTAAAAACAACGAGGATGCAGGAAAGAATAATCCATCTCCTGTAAGATAATGCAAAGATGAATAATGTGGGACTAATATACATCAATGAGAAAGAAGGAGTCAATACAAAGGACATTAAAAAAATATGGGCAGAAGTAATAGCAGAAAATATCCCAAATATGGGGAAACAATCTGACATTCAGGTAACTGAAGCATACAGAACGCCAAGTAACCTCAACCCAATGAAAAACACACCGACACATATAATAGTCAAGATCTCAGAAATTAAGCACTAGAATAATATACTGAAAGCCGCTAGAGTAAAGAAGCCGATCACATTCAAAGGAAAATCCATCAGAATTACGGCCGACTTCTCTTCACAAACCATGAAGGCAAGTGGTATGAAACTGGAAATAATTTAGAAAAGAAACCAGAAAAAAACTTAAATACATGGAAATTAAATAACACCGTACTCAACAACCAATGGATCACAGATGAAATTAAAGAAGAAATTCAAAAATATCTAAATTCAATGAAAATTCAAGGACAGCTTTTCGGAATTTGTGGGATACGACGAAAGCAGTTCTCAGAGGGAAATTCACAGCTGTGAACTCACACATTGGGAAAAGAGAACGGGCATAAATAAATACCCTAATGCTGCACTTTCAACAACTAGTAAATGAAGAGCAAAGCAAAGCCAGAGCCCAAACACAGAAAGAAATCATAAAGATTAGAGCAGAAATTAATTGAATAGAGACGAAGAAAACAATTCAAAGAATTAAAAAAGCAAAAGGCTGGTTCTCTGAAAGGTTAAATAAATTCGATAAGCCTCCAGCTAACCTCATCAAAAAGAAGAATGAAAAAATTCAAATGCAAGCAATAAGGAATGAAAAGGGAGTAATTACCACAGACCCAGTGAAAATTCAGAAGAGTATCACTAGCTACTTTGAGAATCTTTACTCTCACAGAATAGAAGACAAAGAAGAAACGGACAGATTCCTAGAAAGGTACAAAATACCACAACTAAATCGACAAGATATAACCACTCTCAAGAGTCCAATAACAACCAATGAAATACAAGATGTAAATAAAACTTACCGGCAAAGAAAAGTCTAGATCCGGATGGATTCACAGCTGAATTCTACAAGATATTTACAGAAGATGTAGCCCCTATACTCCGCAAATTCTCCCATGAAATGGAATAGGAAGCAATCCTCCCAAAATCATTCCTGGAGGCAAGTATTATACTGATACCAAAACCAGGGAAAGATGCAACTAAGAAAGAGAACTACAGTCTGATCTCACTCAACATAGATGCCAAAATCCTGAATAAAATACTAGCAAATAGAATACAGCAAATCATCTAGAAGGTCATAAACCATGACCAGGTAGGATTTATCCCAAGGATGCAAGGATGTGTCAATATTTGAAAATCTATACACGTAATTCACTATATCAATAGAGCAAAATTTAAAAACCACATGATCATCTCCATTCATGCAGAAAAGGCTTTTGACAAAGTGCTACACTCATTCATGTTCAAAGTCCTACAAAAATTGGAATACATGGCCTCTACTTCAATCTGGCAAAAAGCCATTTATGAAAACACAGTGGCTAACGTAATCCTAAATGGGGAAAATCTGAAATCTTTTACTTTAAATCTGGTGCAAGACAAGGATGTCCACTATCACACTCCTATTCAATATAATTCTGGAAACATTAGCTACAGCCATTAGAAAGGATGAGGAAATAAAAGGAATAAGAGTAGGTAAAGAAGAAGTTAAATTATCTTTATTTGCAGAGGACATGATACTTTTCTTGGAAGACCCAAAAACTCCACCAGGAAGCTACTAGAATTAATACAGAAATTCAGTAGTATAGCAGGTTATAAATTCAATACCCAAAAGCCAATAGCATTTCTCTAGGCAGACATCAAACACACTGAGAGGGAAATTATAGAAACAATACCTTTTACCCTAGCAATGAGGAAAATGAAATAACTTGAATTAATCTAACTAAAGAAGTCAAAGATCTTTTCAAGGAAAATTACAGTTCTCTGAAACAAGAGATAGTAGAGGATTTCAGAAAATGGAAAGATATTCCATGCTCCTGGATAGGAAGAACCAACATTGTGAAGATGGCCATACTCCCAAAATTGCTGTACAGATTTAATGCAATCTTTATCAGACTACCACCGACATACCTCACAGACATAGAGAAATCATTCCTGAAATTTATGTGGAACCAGAAAAGACCTAGAATACCAAAGACAATCCTGGGCAATAAAGACAAGGCAGGAGGCATTACAATTCGTTACTTGAAATTATACTACAAGGCTACTGTGATAAAATCAGCATGGTACTGGCAACAAAATAGACCTGAAGATCAATGGAATAGATTATTAGATGTGGAAGCCTCTATGAACACACTCAGACACCTTATCTTTGACAAAGTGGCCAAACATACTCACTGGAAGAACGGTAGGCTCTTTAACAAATGGTGTTGGAAAAACTAGCTTTCTACATGCTGAAAACT